TGAGAATGGGAACATGCCCTTGTTCCACAATGTCGAACTCTGTGGATTGAACTGCAAAGTCCCGGTCGTACATGCAAATGACCAACTTCTGGTTGCATTTGGTAGACTCGGAATTGGCAAAGGTGAACTGAGAAGTGGTCTCAGCAATGGTGTACCATATGCCACAGTTCTGGTTCTTGTCACAGAACTCCATGAGGTCCTGTGCGGCCACTCTCGAAGCCATTGCTCTCGTGCATCCCAGGTCCAACACCATCGCGGTCGGCGTCAAGGGCTGAGAGATGAAGGCTTCCTCGATCTCATTGATCTTCTCTTCGGTGGCCATGAAAGAAAAGTTCGGAGTGTTGAGATGTTCAACGAAGAAGGTTGTGGCGGCTGTGGTGCCGCTCGGGGCAGCATCAGCAAGCTGGCTCTGTCCGTCTTTTCCGGACTTTCCATCTTTTCCATCCTTGCCAAACTTGCTCTTTCCTTTGCCCTTCTTTCCTTTCTTTCCTTTTCCTTTGGCTGCATAGGATTCCTCAGACTCGTACCAGGACCAGTCATCCCAGGACTGATCGCTCCACTGGTAATCTTGCCATTGTCCTTCTGCTTGCCATGCTTCTGATTCTTCGGCAAGATGTGACCTGCCTTTCTTCCTTTTGAAGAAGCGCCTTCCTTTGGATCCTTTGCCACCTTTTCCTTTGCCTTTACGGTGGCCCTTGAATCCGCGCCTCATCTTGCGGCCTTGGAAGCGCCGCTGGAACCATGAATAGTTCTCGTCGTCGTAGACCCAGAAGGCGTCCTCATCCGCTTCGAGGAAACCTTCGGTGCCATCTTCCTCGTCCTCGACCCAGTAGCCTTCATGATCGTTCAAATATCCTTCATCGATCACAAGGAAGGTCTTGCGGCCACCGTGGCCGGAAGGAGCGAGGAGTGGATTGTCGACGGTAGTCTTGGTCGTACAGAAGATCTCCAGGTAGACTTCGCGAAGCTCGGCCGTGTTGTAGTCAGCCAGGACTCGGTTCCGATGCGCCATCAGTGATGTCAACACCTGACGCTGATCCTGTGTCAGATCAGACAGGGACACAAAGATCAAAGCGACCAGGTTGGGCGTGATCGGAATGGTCCGAGCATGCTGCTCTCTGAGCCGTTCGTTGGCTCTCTCCATTGCCTGAGCTGGCGTAAGGTTTTCTTGTTCTTCTGGAGGAAGTCCTACTATGAAGGCTCTGACCTCTGCATTGTTCGGGTCCTCGATCGGCAGATAGGTATCGTTCCACGCTTCTTGCATTCTCTGAACAGAGAGTTGAAACCTGGTAATCCAACGAAGCATGTCTCCGTTCCCACGGTGCATGTTCATGAACTGCTGGAAGCGATAGAGAAAAACATTCGCTGCTCCCTTCACGAAAAGCGGCCGCAGGAAACTCTTGAAGTACTTCACTCCGTTGTTCGGGTCCTTCAGGCGATCTCTGTCGAGAAGTCTCTTGTGGATTGCTGCTTCACCTTCTAGCCGATTTCTCAAAGCTGGTCCACGCTTATCATTGTCTAGCTCAGTAATGTCACACCAGTCATCGATCGCATCTTCATAGGCAAACCAACTGCTTCTACCATCATAAGATGGAGGTACTTTGGTGGTCACCTGCTGGAAAGCTGAAAGACGGTGTAATTCATTGAGATGACGATGATTAGTCGCGAAAGATTCATTTCCGTGGAGGAGGTAGTCATCATCTCCTCCTTCATGCTCAAAGATAGTCGCAGAGTGGCTAGCCATTGCGCTGTTCTTGGATCGAGCCCCGGGAGAAACCTCTTCCGGTTATCTTCACCTGAGTGAAGTGTGCCGGAGAGACTCCGGTCACCTTCACCTGAGTGAAGCACACCGGGTATTCCGGTTGCCTCCACCTGTGTAGAGAGTACCGAACGGGTACCTCCACAAGTGTGAAGCTTCCCGTTTCCCGGGAGCTCCGCTACCACGTTGAGATGTAACCTGGACGTGTATCCCCTCGCTAGGCGTACAGGAACACAGGCACTCAGGTGTCTCTTTTGCTACAGGCGCACAGCTGTAGTCCACTGCACTAGAACCTTGAGCAACAGGCATGGATACATGCAAGTGATACGTGAAACAGACAGGCACCTGGATGTGTAACATTCAGTGTTTCACCCCCCCCCCCCCCGAAACCCCTGAAGTTCAGGAAAACGCTGCCTCAACCCACGGCGCCTGGTGCGCGTGTCACCAACTAACACCACGAAGGGCGAAAACCCGAGCCTAACTCATGAACAAAAAGCTGACCTAAACCCCAAGTTGTGCCCAAACCCAGATTCCAAAATCCTACACCCGCAGCCCTCAAACTTCCTCCCAGGATCCGGCGGTCCGGCAAGATTTGGCGCTTCACATGCTGACAGTGACAGTAGCCACAACGGGCCCCGTTTTCGCACCTCAGCCGTTCTCCGACGGTTCTGAGTGGTAGTCGAACTCGTAGCCGCAGCGGTAGCGGTACTGGTGCTAGTAGCAGCAGCAGCAGCAGCAGCAGTAGCAGTAGAAGTCGAAGCAGCAGCAGCAGCAGCAGCAGCAAAAGAAGCAGTAGCAGTAGCAGTGGGAGTCGGAGTAGTAGGAGCGCTAGCGGTAGCAGAAGCAGGTTCGTACAGCTGTTCCTGCCCCGAGATGACCCAAAAGCAACCGAAACCGTCCGACTGCAAGTCAAAGCTAGGAAGCAGTGATGTCAAGCGTCCAATAGCACAGCGCAGACAATACGACAGCGATGTCTTTATGTCATTTCTTTGCACGATAATAACTTTAGACCACAGTACGTCCTCATTCTTCTGAAAGCCCGAAACTCGGAAGTCCCTCATCCTAAAGTCTTTCCTGGCTTGTCCACCACCCTCTTCAACCAAAGCTTACACGACTCTAGCCCAGGGGCAGCCCGAGTCTGCAAAAATGTGACCCGGCGGGCATGCACGGGCTAGAGTCCGCAAAGGCTAGCAGAGCGGTTTTAGGGTAAGGATCGCTGAGGGTTCAATCCTCCTGCTCACCGCAGCGCCAGTGTGTTCAACCGCGTAACACAAACAACGACAGCACTCGTACAAAACAATGAAAACAGTAAGACGAAGCACCAGCCCCATCACCGCCAGCATCATCATCGTCCTCATCGTCATTAGAACCATCGTCAGCACCATAGCATGATGCTGCTGCCGGTTGCAAACACACTCCAAAACACACCACTAGACAGTAGGGTAGCCCGTCGGACCCCCAACACAATTTCTGAAAACTTTACCAACTATTCTCTAGCTGGGGAACCAACGGTCTTCATCTACCCCTCAGCCCGCTACCACGCAAAAATGGCCTCAGACGTCCGTAGAACCATGTTTCGGCTGGGGTGCAAGCACTCTTTCAGCAAGGACATCGGCCGCTCCAGATCCGGGACTTGGGCTCCAATGATAGCAACATCGGGGTATGTTGCAACGGGTGCTGCGAGCTTTTGGGTCGTTTGGCGGCATGGCAAGTACTACGCCTGAGCAACAATGCGCACCTGTCGAATAGTTACACGTACGAATATGCAAATGCCCAGACTTTCCAAATGCCGAGGCGAAACGCCTGACTGACAAGGATGCTGACACTCTGAGACTCCGGCTGCCTCAGCGGCTGATCTATCCAAATCTATCCCCATCACGATGCACTTTAGAAAGATTGCCTGGCCATTTCAAAAGGAAGATGGCAAACTCGTTGAGCACATCTATAGCGGCATACGCCGGCAGCGTGCGTATGCGTGCAGCCCGGGAGATCAGAGGGCCTAACCGATTGCCTCCAACTTCCCGGAATTCGACACACAAAGTCCCTCTAAGAAGTTGCAGGCTCTCTCACAGAGCTCATATACTCCACGCACTCTCACACAACTGATGGATCGCACGCTCTCTCACAGAGCTTTTTTTCGGCTCTCCCAATGCGTGAACATTTCCGACCTGCCCTGGATGAGGTAGAAAGAAGGATAGCCACTTTGGAGTATCTGACCAAACTTTCCGCAGCAGCTTGGAATGAGAAAGCCTGACTCTCAGAAACGTCCACTACTACAAGATACACCATCTCAAGCTTGTCTGTCATGCCTTCCAACTCCAATACGTCTAGCCTCAAAAACTCCCCTTGAAGACCTGAACCCAACAATGAGCCCTTTCACATCCGGCCCTGCCTTCTCCGAACGATAGCTCGAAGGCCGCGCTAGCTGCGGTCCGCATGTGTTAAGCTTGAAAGTCTCCCGGAGGTGCTCTGTGGGCGCTAGGTCGTGGGACTGAAGCCTAGAGTCCAATGATCTACAGATATACCGTATTCCCTAGGCTCCCGCAGCATAGGCTTGATGCTCGAACTCGCTTCGGACGGCGGATTCCCGGAGGATTGTGCTTGACGGGACGTGCTGAATGTCCACACTATATAAACCGTAGATCCTCGGGCCAAAGCGAACCCGTGTCTTTTGATATCCCGAATCCAGGGCGGCAAGATCTGCACCTTGCGAACCATGAAGAGTCGATGGAGCTGGTCTGTCAGTAACTCAACAGGATCTAATTTCTCTGCAAACTCCACAGTGATCACAAGAAGGAAGAGTCAGCATACGCTTTTTCTGACGCATGTAGGTCGTAAGATCTTTACAACGCTGAGTTCTGCTGAGCGCTCCAACAGTGGTATGGAATTGGGCATGGCTCTCAGGGATGTCCTGCAGAAATACACAGCCTGTCTTAGGCTCTTTCTGCAGGCACCTCAGAAAGTGCCAGGCCCGTTCAAGAGCCTCGAGAAGCGCAGGCATGCAAATGCTGGTCAGCAAAAGCCCGGTCTCATCAGGGAACCTGACTCAGTCCTGTACCATGGGGTTGCAAGAAGGATGGCCCCGAAGCTTTAAAAAAAAATTATCCGCCTGCTTCATTGGCAAAGTCCAAGAGTCTAAGAGTGGATGCTGTCTAAAAGGCCGGAGAACTCTCACTTGTCACAAGATACGCTTGGACTCGTGCTCGCGCCCCTGACAGCCAAGTGACAGGGTAGGCAGTCATCAACACACCGTAGGCGAGATCATGCGGCTCGCGTCCTCGATGGAAGCGCGCATGCTTGGGCTCGCATACCTCAGCTGAGTCACTAGGTCACCGCTGTCGGAGAAGAAGACGTGAGACATGAGGAAGGAGTCGGCACCGGGAAAGACCCACTGATGATACTGGTTGAAGTTGTCTGACAGGTCCGATGTAAAAGTCTCGAATGCAGTGTCGAGAATGTTGTCCACCTTGCCCTGAGCATCTGACAAGCCATGTTTCAGAGTATTCTCGAGGCCAGAAACACCCTCAATGCCCTTTCCATGGAAGTCCCAAGCCGGAGCGTCGTTGTGGGTGACATGTGTTTCAGTCGCGGTGAGCTTGGCATCATCGCTGACCGCCAAGTCAAATGTGATGACCTTTCTCTTCCAGTAGTAGCACTTCAATGGCAGGTCGGTGTAGTGAGCCCACGTCTCATGGTGGTGAAAGCCCATTGCAACCTTTGCTATCACAGTAATCACAATCTGGCTTCCCTTGACAACGATCGACCCCTCCAGGTGATAGTTGAAGTCCATGTAGATGTACACACTGTCCATTGAGTTGTGCGACTGGTCTTTGGCTATATGGTTGAAGGATAAGGTGTGAGTCGTCAAACCCCCTCCCCATGCTGGTGTTGGGCTGTCCAGGGCGACGAAATGGGCTGGATGATGCGACCAGACAATTCCAGTCGATATGTAGAATTCCATTCCACTATGATGTGTTGTGCACGAGGTCTCCAAGCAAAGCACTTGACAGGGCTTCGCCGTAATCTGCGTGAGGTAGCTCGCTATAAAGCTGCGTCGCACTGACAGGACTCCTGATATTTGGCTGACGTCATCGGCGTCCACCCAGTTCCACGGAAAAACCTCAATGCTAGGAGGCGTTTTTCTTGTGGAGAGATTATATGCCAAGCAAGAAGCTGGGTTATGAGCATTGTGGCCGCCGAGCCGGTATGGTGCCGTGGAAAAGGCCAGTGACCTGAATGCAACCGTAGCGGACGGATTCGGGTCAACCTTCGATGTGACGGAGTAGCCAAGGATGGGGCTGCCAGTCTTGCGCAATTGGCTGAAGTAAGCTCCTGTGAAGACCTTAGACATCATCGCCCAGGCTGGGGCGAAGTCGCTGTTGTCGCTGACGCCCTTTATCACCGGATTGGCCACAAGCGAGGCTGTCTCCAGATCTAGGAAAAGCTGGCTCATGCTGAAAGACCTAGGGCCAAACTTTTCTATGAACTGCTTCATGCGTGCTTGGACAGCGTCCGGGACTGTCGCGTTGGGGTCGATAGTGTTCAAGGTGAGGTCCACCAAAAAGTTGTAGTACCATGCGGTTTTCGCACTGGCACCTGAAGGTTGGAACTTGTTGATCGCCACAGCTTGGTTGAAGCCAGCGTATGTGATGCCACATATCTGGAATTCGGACGTCGTCAAGTTGAAGGAGACCCGACTGTCCGAATGCTCGCCCAGCGTGACTATGGACGGTAGATGGGCCAGCGGTATTCTTGGCAGGCCGCCCTTGGCCTTGAAGGCTCCAACAAAGTTGACTTTGGCCAAGTTGAGCACGTTCTTGTCTGTTTGGTCCGCACCGTCGGTCAAGTTGAAGGGGTCCGAACCACCGGCCTGATCCACGAGGGTCTTGTAGTCGACCTCCACGATCTCACCCTTGGAATGAGGCTTGTAGGCATAGCACTTGATGACTTCTGGCAGCGAGGCCTTAGACAGGTACATCATCATTGTGGCGTTCACACTGGCCTGCGTCACCGCCACAACAGCGTCGACGTCCTCCAACTGTGACAGATTGCTCGCGGAGCCACTCGCAGAGCGAGCATTTTCGCCTGCTGGAGGTCCAGTCTGACAGCAACCCATGCTGATACCCATGCTGTGAGAGAGGTGGCACTACTCGTCCACAGCGCCGCTTCGCTAACATTCGCTAACATCAGCTGTTTCAGCCAACTGCAGCACTGCATGCTCGGAATCTGATTTAGCATGCATGTCTGCATTGCGGGAGAGATTGAACGGCCAGCTTCGACCGCGCAGCCTTCGAACAGCAGTGAACAAACACTTGCTGAGGGCTCTTCTAAAGGCTGAACATGTTGATCTAAGCCATCTTCGTGCACGTACGGCTGCGGGCTTCTTTTGCAGCTGGCGGATGATGTACGCGAGCCAAGGCTGCCAGAAATTTGCAAATTTAGCAAAAAGACTGTGAAACATAGTGAGCTTTGTAGCCATGCAAGTGTTTGTGTCAGCATCTCCTGAAGCGATGTCAGACACTAAACGCCAAGGGTTTGAGGTAAGAATGTAGCAATGCTTCTGCCGGCGGCACCCTTCACGTTCAGCTCTAGACTGTGGCACGGAGCATCCTGGTGATCTCTCCCAAGCGGTCGGCATCATAACCACCCTTCTTCAACTTTGAGAGGCCGAAGCCCAGCTCCGTCCTAAACCGTCTGTCCGGCGCCTCCTCGCGTCGGAGACCCTTCGCCATTGCCTCAATGATGGCCTTCGTTCCATCTTCACGGGCCGTATGTACGCAGCGAACCTGTGTGTTTCGGGGGCTTTTGGGCTTCAGGGCATTGAAGGTTTACTGCTCACCTCTCGGGATGTCATGGGCACCAGACGTGAAGCCTCTGACCGAGCCATCTCAGCACTTGGAAAGTTGTCGAGTCTACAAAGTTCAATCAAACCACCGTCACTATGTGTGTATGCACGTACATACACATATGCAAATGTGAAGACCATATGCCACGAACAGCAAGACCGAATCCCGCCAACCTTCGTCAAGTGCTCCGTTGTTTCGGCGATCAACTGCTCTGAAGGTTGCAGGATGTTCCCACCAAGAAAACGCAGAATCTCGTATGCCTGCGTAGCAGCTGGGATAAAATATTTGGAAGCTTTCCAACGGGCATGTCTGGAAAAGCATGACCATGTGCAATGGCGGGTGCTGCCTGGTTTAAGTCACTCTGTCGCCGGAGGTTGCCGACCACGTGGGCTGCTTCCAATAAAGCGCGCAAAACCTGCAGGACTAGTGTCAAGCGAAGCAGAGTACGCATCATTTCGCCCACCCAATATGCACTGGTCAATAGTAGTGCTGTCATGATGGTAGTTCCGCATCACAAGCACTCTCATCACCACTGGCATCACTCGACACGTCCACCCTCAACCTCAACGACATCCTCAAGGCTTGAAGCTGTTGCCACATGAAAATTGTCTTCCAGAGCCATGCTCCCAGCAACTCCTACGAGGGTCCGGTGTTTGGGGCTTAGGGGCAATCGAGATTGAGACAGCTCAGCAACCTCTTTCGCAACGCTTTGCCAGGGGAAGCTTTCCAGGTGCTTGCGAAAGTCATTCAGCCGAAGAATCTCCCCTTCCAGCCAAGAATGGGGAAGACTCTGCTCTCCTCGGCATGCGTGCTGTAAGCTTCAGAGCGTACTGACCACAGGCATTTGCCGGACGTCCATTTGCGGCCAGGCTACGATTGCCATTCTCGGAAAACCTCATCTTCCACATCCTTGAGCTTCTGCAGGCTCAGGACATCATCCTCCACCCAAGGAGCAGCTGCTCGGTTTGTGGAAGGGATCCCCGGCGCTTCAATCTCTTCCTCCCCATCGGTGGAGCTGTCGCCGTCGCGAAGCAATCTTGCCATTTGCAGCTAGCAGCTCACAACAAAATTGCCGCGACTTGAGCATGAGCAGGCGGGGAGAATAATTTCGAGGCTCTGGCATGACCCGACACCAACATAAAGGACAGCAATGATCTGATGAAGTATATCAAGGACGGTTTGATCGATCCTACACGCCAGGATATGCAGATACCATACCGTGATGCTTCTTTCCTTAAAACAGCCGATTGCGCTAGCGTTGGCTAGGATCGTGTGGCATGCAAAGCTGTGTCCCCAACCCAGGACTCGTAGCTATCTGTTTGCCTCGCGAGGTGGGCAGATATGGCAAAGGATAGAAACATTCATCGGGTTGCGATGTTGTAAACTTGACCATATGCGAATGCAAGTTGGGAAGTGCAAGCTTCGTCAGAAGCTGCCTTCTTCTGGATCAATGGGCTGTGGCATGCACTCGCAAAGAACCCACACAAACTCAGTCCTGAGTGAGCTAGGTTGCATCATACTCGCGCCGCTCCTGGTTCTACTTTCCGCGGCGCTCAGCACTTATGGGCACAGCGCGAAAGAGAGTGCCGGATCCATGCGAGTAAGCAATCGGGATCAGGGTTTCATGGACCCTCAAGCCCGGCAGCATTCTTTGACAGACCCCAGCCACTAGCAGTAGCAGTACCCGACCGTCTGCACTTTGTAGCTGTGTTCACACACCAGCACCAAAAAAAAATTGCATGGCAGCTCCAGCAGTCTCGCTTTTTCCGCAGCACGAACCGGCTAATTTCCGTGTCGGAACTCTTTTGTGGCTCAGCTGTTCATTCTGGCCACTCAAGCTGGCACCCAAACAAGGCAGCACGCGTGCACTCGAAGCAGGATCGCTTCAGTGGCTGAGCTGGAACATATGTACAAGCTGCCTCCTTGGACACAGGGAAGTCGATTGAAATCTACCCCAAGTAAGTAGCATTTCCATCAATGGCTTGTCGCAGAGCTGACTGGCCGCATGTAGCGACAGTCGGTCATGCGTGTGAACTTCAGGCTTGATCAGTAAATATGCAGGTTTTCGCTTCGCACGCATGTGAGCGACAGACAGCCGTTGGGGAGCCATTGCTTGCAGTCACCTGTACTTGCAAACGGCATGGCTCATTCAGCTGCTCCACATTCAAACAACCAGGTTCAAGTCGTCCTCGCGGCTTTAACTGCAGAACCCCCTTCCACGGACAGCGGTCGCTCCCCTACTAGAACACCCAGGACTACCACACGAAAGGGCAGGGTTTTGAGGTCGCCGCCCACAGACCAGCAGCATAGTTGGCAATTCCCTGCGGCCCATGGGAAAGCGCCCTGTCATGGAGCACACACAAGCATCTCAAGGCCATGCGGACATGAACTCTCTGACACCTCTGAAACAGGGAGTCAAGGATGTGCTGGTTGTCCATCTTCTTTGGATGGTAGTTGCCTTGCAGGTATGAGAAAGATGCCCTTCCGAGTACAGTTAAAGATACGATGGATGTGTGTGCATATGTATGTATGGTACATATGACATGTATATACATGTGTATGTACACTGATACACATATGACAACATTTGAAGCTCAGCTGCCCTCATCGTCACAGTTGATGCGCACAGAGCGCTGGCCCTTCTTGCACATCTCTGGTGGCCTCAAGTCAAAGCTGCAATCCGGGAGAAGGCGCATCCAAGGCTGCCAAGCCGTTTTGCTCCAACCTTAAAACCCTTAAAACCCCAAAACCTAGAACCCTTCTTCCCACCCACTCCGCAGATTAATCGCTAAACCCCAAAGCCCCAAGCTTCAAGCCTAAACCCCAAACCTTTACAACTCTAAAGGATTACCAAAACCCCAAACCTCTGGATAAGAAACACCTTTAAAGATCCCTTATAGTAACGCTAAACCCTAAATCCTATACACTCTAAACCAAGTTGCGAATCGAAGACCGAGGGATCGGCCACGTCATCCTCCCAGGCCTTCTACGTCGGATGAACTCTTGGGCATACCACTCGTCTTTAGGGTTTAGGGCTTGGGGTTTACGGTTTGGGGTTTAAGGTGTTTTAGAGGTTCAGGGGTTTGCGGTTTAGGGTATAAAGCTTAGGGTTTAATGAGTTTATGGTGGAAGGTGTAAAATTGATAGGCTTAGGGTTTGGGCTTTATGGTTTTAATGGTTTGCGGGTGTAGGGCTTGGGGTTTACGGTTTAGGGGCTCTGGATTTTTAGGGTACACAGGTCCATACTCTAGCATTGTTGTGTCATGTACAGCAGTTCAAGGCGCATCTGTTACCAACAATAGCAACGCAGCAGAAAGATCCATGATGGAGGCAAAAGATCCATGATGGAGGCAAAGGTACACATACTGTTCAAGTAAGCATATTGTTTATATCATGGCAGCGAGCAGAAGGTCGTAGTAGTTACAACAGAGCTCAGGGTCTAAGAGGTCTAACGGTGATAAACATTCCTGAAACCAGCTCAAAACGAGCAAAACAAGCATGACTCCGCTGGCAAATGTACCGGAATATGTGCTATCTGCAGCGCCTCTGGATCATAGAGCTGGAGCCCGTTGAAAGGCTTCCATGCTCGCACGAGGCGACGCGACGATGGATCCGTCCTCGAGTTGACTGGCAAGCCTCCTCTCAGTTTCCTCTCGTTGCACTCTCTCTTGAATTAAGCCCAAGTAACCTACCTTTTTAAGGACTTATATAAAGAACTCATATGAGAGAAGGTTCCTTAGGGTCCAGGTTATCATTGCATGTATTGGTGGTCCGGATTCCTTAACTCGATTCAACCTCTCCTCTCAAAGCTACGGCTTGAACATGGGTTCTGTTCCATTCATTTCATGTAGTGCACCCACGGACTGCTCGCCGAGACGCCACACGTGGTGTGCCCACAAGATGAAGTGGTCCAGCCTCAGATCAGCACATTGAAGCACAGGCACACACGCTGAGTCCTGGAGCGAAGACAGCTCATGGAGAGTCTCAAAGCCTAGCTGCTCCATCATCTTCGCAGACTCCCCGACACCGTGATTCTGGATCCACTCCTTGTACTGAGGCAATGCGTTATTCTGTAGCCGCGACTCTCGTCTCCTAGTCTGAGCTGCGGTCGGCACCTAGGCGCTCACGGCCGAGGTACTGAGCATTAGCCTCGGCTGAAAACGTGGCAGAACAAGACAAGGGTGAAATTCCGAAAGTCCGTGGAACATATATATATATATATATATATACCACACAACATAATATACTATACTTTACAAAAGGAAACCGCAAGATTGCCCTGAGGCGCTGGCAAAAGTGTCCCAATGCTGA